ACTTAGCAGCTTAATGGGCCTTTTTAGTTACTATAGGCTTTGGAAGTAATATTTTGACTGAGGAAAACAGTGACCAGCTGAGCACTATTTAAAACCGTAAACATAACCCTGGCCTGGCCCCAGTATCCAACATGGCAAGTGAAAAATTAGAAGGAACCACGACTGCACCCAAATGTTTGAAGTGAAGAATTAAAGCATAGAATGTGCCCAACACAATACTCAAATGGAGTAATAAATTGATACCATAATTTCCCTAGACTGCATATTCAACATCTTAAATCATGCAATGTGTGAAGATATAATGTCAATCAGAAACTGGAAATAACACAATTCCGCAAGCAGACCCCTTGGAACTGACAACAGTCTAATGCATAAAAGGCTGACACCAGAAAGACACCACTAACAAACAAAGAAAAACAAAAACAATGAAATAAGAGTAATTTTTCTTCCAACAAGTGGCAAGCCAACAGAGAGAAAAATACGGATACCTGGAATGCACATATTGAGTGCTTTGGCTGTAAAAAAAGACTCCATGTCAAAAAGGTAGAAGTAATTGCGGTCAATAAGATCAGAAAGCAGTTGTCCAGCTAGTCGATGAAGAGTTGCCATGATCGGAAGCGACAGATGCCACTTCCTATAACTTGGGCCGTTTATGAGCTTTGTCTTAACAAGAGGTTTATGGTCATAAAACCATGTATACACAGCAGAATCTTCTTCTTCATCCAACTCCAATTGAATTGGCTCTAGGGGATCAACGTCTAACAGATTATCAGCATAGTCTAACGGAGGTTCCTCATCATCAAATGGTGGAAACCGCATTCTTTTGAAATGCCGACGATCCCTCTTCTCCCTTCTCATCATAATCCACATTGAACCCCACTGTAAAAATAAAATACACCAAATCCACTAAATATCATCCAAAGGAGGAAGAAAAGACTAAAACCTTAAAGAATTGAATAGCACAATATATAAACTTAAGCAGCATATAAATGATATAAGAAAGATAAGCACCTGAGCCAAATAGATGGGTTCAACAACCCAAGGTATTTCATTTATAAATGTAATTGCCCCAGTTATATGGTACAAAACCTTCACATCCCGGACCTGTTACAGAAGTAATTGATAAAATCAGTGCCACATCGGTAAAAATCACACAACGGATAAATCTAGACATCAAAAATGAAAAGTTTGCAAGGATATGAGAGACGTAGAACAAGTACCTGCTCCCATGGCATTGGCATGTTCTCAAGGAGCTTGTAAACGGCATGGGGGACAAACTTAAGTGCTCCTAGATACACTCGTTTATCATGACGAAATTTCTTTGAGGACATATCTCCATGGTCCCTGTCAAAAGACACCAAATTAAATACTATTCAGGTCAAGATCTACCTAATGCAGTAAAGTACAAGCACATCATTATGTGAAACCATGAAAGGGGGCAAAGGACATCAGTAAGAAGCGTGAAAAAACATATATCATGTCGATTCTAAGTAGTGATAACAAAAAAGAAATCATACTAGTGAATTAAAAAAAAAATTCTAATGCAGCAACATTTGTCAAACCAAATATGTATAACAGAAATTAAAAGATGTCTCCAATGAGAAACTGAAGCTTCTCTATCTCGCATATTCCACCAAAACAAATCCAATTTTATACTGCTTCTTCTAGTGTTCGAAATAAATTGACAAACGCTCCAAAGATTTTCTCAAACAAAATAATCAGAATTCAACAATAACCATAAATATCAAACGCCTAAAGCAACCTAACCTCTTCAACAACCTCATACATAACCTGGTTCCATGCTTTCGACTACAATACACTAGGTCTTAAGCAAATCTATTCTTCACCCTTCTTCGTATAAATTTTCAAATCAGTTCATTGAAAAAATAAGCACAAAAAACCCCAAAACAAATCCTTTATCCGAAACCTAACCTACAGATATTCGACGCCGAAATTAAAACGAAAAACCACACAAAGATATATACATCACAGTGGAGCAGAAGCAAACTAACCTAATGATCTTCCTGACATGTTCAGGAGGCATGTCCTCCTTCTGCGACTCGACGAAGCCGAACTTGCGCTTATCGCTATACCGCTTGGAATTAAGCTGCTGCCATTTCCGGGCCTTCTCTTCAAGCTTAGCCTCGGCATCAGCTGGAGAAGGCAACACCGTGTAAGATGGCTGAGCCGCTGGCGGTGGCGGAATCGACGAACCACCGGTGCCAGGCGGCGCAATCTGGCCGTTGTTCCACATACTGTGGAACCAGAAACCGAATCGAATGCCAAACCCTGCCCAAGGCTTGTGACAGAGAGCTTTCCTGCTTGTGTTTCCGCTCGAAGAAGCTTTTGAGGAGCTTCAATGGCGGTTCGCGGTTTCTAGGGTTTTCCGGGCTTTGGCTCTCGTCTCTTCTCTCAGAGCGCTAGTGAGAGTGAAAGATGTAAATAGCCAGCGTTGGTGTTGAGATGTGATTTTATACTTCGAAGTTTGACCATAACATTTTAACAAAAAAAAATCATATTTTTACACTAAAAATTCAATCATAATCTTAATTATTAATTTTATTTACTATTTATTTTATACTTATTGATAAAATTTAAAGTTTTTAAATCTTTTTTATTAATTTTTTTTTTTATTTTTTGCTAGAAAGAGAGAGAAAGGCGGTCGCATCGCACGTGACGGTAGTGAGGGGTGAGGATCAGAACGCCGTTCAGGATGGGCTTGTTTCGGTAGTTGGTGTGAGCATTTGAACGACCCAAATTGTATTTATACCCACAATCCTAATCCAATTTTACTTTTTAGTCTGAACCCAATCATTTCCGGCATGTCAGCACAATAGATCGATCTATCATACGTGGGAGTTGAATTTAAAATCTTGTACTTACTTATAAATGAAGGATAATATTAACAGATTAAAGGAATAGTTGCATTTTAGGAGTTAGAGCATCTCCAAACTTTCACGTCAAATTTTAAATTAAACAACTAAAAAGTTATCTTGGAAGCTCCCTAATGAAATTTAGAAAGAAATTTGGGTAAAAGCTTACTTCTTATCATCTATTGTTGTAATGCACTAGAACATAATAGAATTTTCAAAGAAAATGTAACCCACGTGAGCAAGGAAGATGATTGGAAAGGTTTAATCGTTACAAGGTTCAAAGTTGAGACAAACTAAGATTAGGTTGTCACATGTAAGAAACTGAAATTCAACTAAATTTTAATTAGTTAAATCTTAACTCTTCACTCATGAAAAAGGGTAAACCGTTGTTTAACCCCTTGAACTATTACCCCAGTTGAAACTAACCCTATAAACTATTATTTTTTTGGTAAATTAACTCCCTTAACTATTTGAAATCAGTCAATTAACCCCTTGTTGATAGATTCCATCACTATTTCGTCAAATTTAAGAGAAAATTAGTCTTTCCTTCATCAATTCTTATTTGTCAACTATAACTACTAATGAACTTATGATATTTGAAAACAAAATAATGTGGGATGGTCCGTTATGCAAACGTTTTGTTTTTTTATGTTTTCTCATTATGCTATATGTTTTTTTAATTATTATGTATCCATGTGTCAAAATTTTATTGGTAGTCATAGCTGGCAAGTAAAAATTGATGATGAAATGATTAATTTTGCCCTTGAATTTGACAGAATTGATTCTCTAATTTTAAATAGTTCGGGGGTTAATTTACCAAAAAAATAGTTTAGGGGTCAAATTCAACGGGGTGATAGTTCAGATGGTCAAACCACAATTTACCCCATGAAAAAAAAAATGTGTGGATAGTTAAATCTCTATAAACTAAACAAAAATCTATTAATTTAGCGAATATTAAATAATTGATCAATTAATGTTGGAACCAAATTTGCCCATTGCCGTGAAGAGTGGAAATGCATAAACTTGAGTAACCTGTAAAAGAACAAACAACCATAAGCAATCAAAGACTGGGGCTGTCGGCTAAAGGCTTTCCTATCGTCAAGTTAGTAAACAAATATATAGGGGTAATTCGATATGGAATCCCAAACCAAAAATGGGATCCTGAAATTTGAGATGTGGGCTAAAATTTGAGGTTTGGGCCTGAAATTTTGTTCTCAATTTCATATCAATTGAAAATTGGGTTTTTTACCTCATACCAGTTGCAAATTTTATACAAATTGAAATACCAATTCGTTCATACCAAATCAAATTGATGTTCTAAAGTTCCAAACTACTTAATTTCATACTTCTATTTCAATAGAGTCTACTATCAAACTACTTAAATTCAACATTCAACATGCATGCAATCAAAACAAATATATATTTTTTCGATTTGGTTTGGGATTCCCGCACCATTGAATATGTAATCCTAATTTCCATACCAAAAGGTTCAAGATCGTTTCAGTATAGATCCCGAAAATTTCAATATTATCAGTTTGAGAATATTTTGGTATGGGATCAAAAAAATTTTGGTATGGTATAGGATTTTTGGGAAAATTTTCTAGTCATACAAATATATGAGACATAAGTAGTAAGCAAGATGGAGACCCAGATATGGAATCCGTATTAAAATAGTCACAATCTTATGTACTGATTTTAATCATTATTTTTTTAAATTTGACCCAACAGTTTCATGGCCTAACTCCTTTCGAGCAACTCAGGCAATTATTGCTCAGGCTAATGAGTTAAGGAAATTACTGCCTTAATAAACAGTAACTGCTCGAGTACATATCCACCCCAAAATGAATTGCCCAGTCAATTGGTATTAAAAGATCATTTTATATTTAATTTCGGATAGAATTTTTAACCAATCTCATCACGCCACGTGTTATTGTCCAAAAATACAATTTTGTGGATATATTTCCAAGTAGATATTTAACCAATCTCGTAGCGCCACGTATCATGATTCTATAAGAATTTTGTGGATAGATTTCTAATAAGATTTTTAACCAATTCTGTTTCGCCATTTGCCACTGTCTGTTCAGAATCCTTATGGATAGATTTTCGATAAAATTTTCAACCAATCATAGGGTGCCATGTGGCATTATTTACAATTGCATCCTTTCTTTTACTCCATATAAACCCTACATCCAACCTAAACTCACACACCAAGTTCAAAATCACTCTCAATCCTTCTTGATAGTGTATAAATTTTGAGTTTTTACAATGTCAGCCTCGCGTTGTACTGCCTCAAGCGGACGTGCCTCTTCAGATCAATGATGATCACCTAACACATAGAGGTACGCTCTCAAAAGCGATTCCCACTACTCTATCTGTTGGGTTCTTCAATTGTCATCGTTTATTATTGTGATTGAATTCCTCTTTCAAGAATTCTAATTCTTGTTTTTGTTTTCAATTGTTGTTGTGATTAAACTTCTTGGGGTATTCTCTGATTTGGGTTTGCAATTGTTTGGTTCGGGAAATCGAAATTTAACTAAGTTGGGTGTTCGATTTTGTTTACGATTTGAACCATTAAATTTGTGATTTGTTCTATGCCAATTCAAATGGACCTTGAATTTAATTGGTTTGATTCGGTTGTTGTACCTAATTTATTATTATTTTTTAATGTTGTTAAATTGTGCCAAGAAAATGTGGGTTTGGCACAAATTTGGCCTAAATGTTTGAGAACTTGTAATTGGATCCCTAAAATTTTCAATTCTTTGATTATACGTGTGATGTTAATTTGGTTTTGTTTCGAAATTTTGCTTTGGTAGCAGTTTTTCAAAAACAACATGCAGCTAGATACAATTTTGTTTGTACCGAACACATGAACCTGTATCTTAAACGCTACAAAAATTGTGTTTGCTTGCTTTCCAGTTTTGAGATGTCTCCAACATCATCTCGACCTAAGTCCAGAGACAAGAAGACCCGCAAATAAACCTTCGACTGGGCCTGCTACTGCAAGTAGTGAGATCCTTGCTAGTGCATAAAATCCAATTTTGGGATCTTTCACATGCAGGAACGGAGGAATGATAAAAGTTTAAGTTTTAGGCATAAATTCTGATAGATTTTACCACAAAAGTTTAAATCTAAATTTTTTTGTCACCTTATGACCATGGGAACCATTTATCTAATTTGTCATTAGAAAAATATTAGAATAATGTCTTCACTTGAACTGTAAACTTATCCAACTAAATTGGTTAATAAACTTTATTTTTGGTGGAGTTCCTTGAAATTTAAGTGGCTACACATGATCGGTTCACAAGGGTGAATACTTATGGACTACTTGGCTCAGGTTTTGCTTATGCCTATATCATCTTGAGTCAAAGTTACAAATTTTATTTGACCCCTTGGTTAGGGTTCAGAGCTTACCATGCTTTTATCAATGCATCTTTGGATGACAAATGTACTTGCCATGATCTCATTGTCTACCGCATTTTAATAGCGGTGAAATTAAAACACCCACAAATTCGACATTGCATGCATAGATGACAAGATTTCAACACTTATAAATTCACCATCGCAGTGTATTGTATGCTCTAGTTCTTGAACGTTCGCATCCCACAAGTCAAGAAATGCGTTATCCATTGAGGTAATATATTGACCTTAAATTAGTAATCTTTATTCTTTTCCTTGTCATATATATGTTTAGTTTTAATATATGTGAATAAAATATGTAGTAATCACAGAGATGTTTTATATTCCCACTACTTGGGGCTAGTCGATGGAAATGTGGAACAACGATAATATTTATTTTAGATTGAATTTAGAAATCAAACAACTTTCAATAGAACTTATATGTATGGGAGGGTGAATAATCGTGCAATATTAGGGTTAGGCTGGGGAATTACGTACATGTGTCGTTTGACATTTTCTTTTTAAAAAAATGGGTAGTTGTGAGGCATTTCCAATCCTTATATGCACCGAAAGCTATAAAAAAATTTATGTAATTATCTATGTTTCGGTTGATAAATGGCCCAATGGATTCTTCAATTAATGAATGGCCTTTCACTAACTTTACTCATTAAATTATGCATTGTGTCATTCATCAATTACTTTATAAGTATTCACCCTTGTGAGTCGATCATTTATAGCTAGATAAACTTCAATAAACTGCAAACAAAAATAAAGTTTATTAACCAATTTAATTCATTTAGGTTTATAGTTCAAGTCAAGATATTATTATTATACATCTCCAATAAGGCCCACAAAGAAGCCTTCCATTGTAATTGTTCTTCTTAAATTACATCTTGCTACAATAATAAAGTTTACAAACCAATTTAATTGAATTAGGTTTGCAAATCTGTTGTTAGAAATTTCTCCTGATAGTTTTCTTGTTTTTGAGCCCAGCATCTAAATATGTAAAAATTTTGGAATTCCACAGTGGTTTTTAAGATAGTGAAGGAAACTCCAGCAAAGGCTAGAAGAAATGTTCAAACTGAGTTGTACAAGAAGGATATGTGTTTTTCAATTTTTTTTTTTTTCTATATTTGATGATAATTTTTTTTTTTCTTTTAGGTCACATGCTTACTTGAATTGGTTTCTTTAGTGAATCATAATTCATATGTGATACTTCTCATATTATTTTATATCTAAATTCAATCCAAAATAAATATCATCGATGTCCCACATTTTCATCGACTAGTAACAGGCAATAGGAATATAAAACATGTCTTTAATGAGTGCATATTTAGTTCATATATATATATATATATATATATATATTATAATTAGGGATGGGCAAAATATCTATGAGTTTGGGTAACCGCGGTTACTCACCCATTTAAAGTTCACAGTTACGGTTATGAGTAATCGTTTAAACGAACAAATGGTTATGGGTATAACTGTTTATCTGTGAAATTTAAATGGTCAGTTATAGGTATTATCCGCGGTTATAACGGGTATTCATCGATTATAAGTATTACTCGCAGTTATAATGGGTATCCATTTACCCATTTAATTTAATATATGTAAAATTTAACAAATGGGTGTGTGAAAAATCATGCTCTGTGGTCACTTACCTCTGTAGGATTCATGCTAATTGGTGTTGATGTTCCTAAATGGGATACCAATTCAATTTATACATTTCTTTTGTAGGCCTCTTTTGGTGACAAAGAGTCGATGAGACTTCGTGATTGAACGTGCTAAAGCCCTAATGTTCGAAAGTGTTTAGTTTCGGAATATTTTGGAGCTTTGAATCATCTAGTATTCAAGATAATGACTACTTTTTGTTTTTAGAAGCTTTACTTTGTAATCATATGGATTATAATTAAAGACTTGCTTGGGTGTAGTGGAAAAATATCATTTGTAAACTATTATTTCAATTATTGGAATTGTATTATGACTTAAATGATTAAAATAGGAAAATGCATGCTAAAATATACTTATAACGGTGTTTAATTGTCAAAAAACGAAAATTATGACAAATTTTTCTTTTGTAATTTTCAAGTTGTTATAAAAAAAAAAAAAAAAAAAAACATGTAGACGGATGAAAAAAGGGTTAAATGGGTACACAGTTATAGATATGGTTAATCATTTATAAACGGTTATGGGTATGAGTATGGGTATAAATATTTATGCAATTACCCAACGGATAAACGCTTATGCGGGTGTGAACATAAACGGTTATGGGTAAATAACCGCGGTTACCCGCCCGCCATAACCGTTGCCCATCTCTAATTATAACTAAACATATAAATGAAAATGACAAAAAATACTACTAACTTAAAATCAAATATATTACCAAAATGATTAACACTATTCGTGACTTTCGGGATGCAGATGTTCTTTGCTTTTTGTATTTGTTTGCAGCAGAAGCACGAGACTACCAATATTGTTATCAGAAAATGTGATTTTAATCCTTGGATAAGTCTATAGTTAGAAAATTGTCTTATGCAAGATTAAATATTGTTTATAGTCCTTTGACTCTACATCCATGTCAACATACATTATCCACATCAGCTTTTATTTGTTTGGGTGGTTTTCTTGATTCTATTTTTCCTACATTGTCCTTATGTGATGTTAGAAAATCACCACTTTTAAATACTGAGTTATGAGTGCTGCATTTTTCATTTTAAACCCGAAGGTTCAGTTGTATGAATCTTTCATTGCCCCTTTCTATGGTGTCATGCAGATTTGCTTCTTTGTCTCGCATTTCCACTAAAATCGTGTGGGTGTTTTTTAGGGTTTAGCTTTGTGGTGGGTGTTGTAATTAAGTTTTTAGTATGTTGAATACATGATATATTAGTTTGATTTTTGTATATAATTTGCATATTTGTGCTGCACATGGTACACTAATCCATATTTTGGCACACTGTAGAAGTGAGAGGTACACTAATCCAACAAAGGTGCCATGGTTTAGGTACATTAAAATTCTGATTAGGTCCTTTTAATTTGGAGGTACCATGTATTAGGTATACTATGATATGGGTACCATGATATAGATACTGTGATATGGGTACCATGGTTTAAGTACATTATATTACTCATTTGGTATTATGTATTCATTAAAATTTGATTTCTTGAGTTTTGTTTCTTGGTGATATAATTTTTTTTTTTTTGAATTCTAATCAATAATTACATTCGTTTTTTTAATTTGATATGTAACTGAATTTCTTATTTGGTGTCTCTATTATTTTTAGATGTATCTTCATAGCAGGAAATGAGGCACTCAAATCAACCCCTAAAAATCGGCAAGAAAGTCATATATTTAATTGTGGGGTATTTTAGGAACTAAAATACACATAAAAACATTAAAACCTATAAAATAGGAGTTTTAATGTTAAATATGAGGTGGACATCCCGTCAAAGGACTAATTTAAATTTTTAATCTTATACCAGGTTTTTATGAAAAGTTGATCTAATCCAAGGATTAAACTCTATTTGCCCCTATTGTTTTCTTATTAGGAGAAACGGTTATTCTTGCGGTTGACGCAAGAGCTACAAGCTACTTATTAGAACTTGAATCCCATTAATGGGTGAATAAAATTCGTCATTTCACACTGAACAACTATGTTTAACTTTTTAAATAATTATTTTACACATTTAATCTCCTTAGCTTATCCTTTCTTGTAAATAGTCACAATCTTTATGTTAATGATTTTAATTATTATTTTTTAAAATTTGACGCAACGGTTTCATGGCCTAACTCCTTTAAAGCAACTCCACCACTAAAGTAATATATTTGATCATAAATTAGTAGTCTTTATTCTTTTCCCTTACATATATATGTTCAGTTTTAATATATGTGAATTAAATATGCAGTAATCACATAGATGTTTTATATTTCCACTGCTTGGGGCTAGTCGATGAAAATGTGGGACAACGATGATATTTATTTTACATTGAATTTAGAAATCAAACGACTTCCAATAGAACTTATATGTATGCAAAGGCGAATCATTGTACAATGTTGGAGTTGGGGGCGGGGGAATAATGTAAATGTGTCGTTTGACATTTTCTTTTGTATCTTGTGTTCATGATGCTATAGACATGAATAGAACTTGAGCCAATTACTTCATAAGTATTCACCCTCATGAGTCGATCATTTATAGCTAAATAAACTTCAATAAACTGCAAACAAAAAAAATAAAGTTTATTAACCAATTTAATTGATTTAGGTTTATAGTTCAAGTCAAGATATTATTCTTATACCAGTCCAATAATGCCTACAAAGAAGCTTTGCACTGTAATTATTCTTCTTAAATTACATTTTATTGCTGCAGTAATAAAGTTTACCAACCAATTTAATTGAATTATGTCACATCCCGGCCCAGGACAGATCACTTCCGGGGCCCGCTTCACCACCGTAGCACGATATTGTCCGCTTTGGGCTTACCATTCCCTCACGGTTTTGTTTTTGGGAACTCACGAGCAAATTCCCAATGGGTCACCCATCATGGGATTGCTCTAGCCCCCTTCTCGCTTAACTTCGAAGTTCCTACGGAACCCGAAGCCAGTGAGCTCTCAAAAGGCCTCATGCTAGGTAGAGATGAGAATATACATTTAAGGATCACTTCCCTGGGCGATGTGGGATGTCACAATCCATCCCCCTTAGGGGCCGGACGTCCTCGTCGGCACACACGCCACCAGGATTAGGCTCTGATACCAATTGTCACATCCCGGCCCGGGGCGGATCACTTCCCTAGCCCGCTCCACCACCGTAGCACAATATTATCAGCTTTGGGCTTACCATTCCCTCACGGTTTTGCTTTTGGGAACTCACGAGCAACTTCCCAGTGGGTCACCCATCATGGGATTGCTCTAGCTCTCTTCTCGCTTAACTTCAGAGTTCCTACGGAACCCGAAGCCAGTGAGCTCCCAAAATGCCTCGTGCTAGGTAGAGATGAGAATATACATTTAAGGATCACTCCCCTGGGTGATGTGAGATGTCACAAATTAGGTTTGCAAATCTGTTGTCAAAAATTGCTCTTGGTAGTTTTCATCGTTTTTTGGCGTAGCATCTAAGTACGTAAAAACTTTGGAATTCCAACAAGTGGTTTTTAAGATAGTGAAGAAAACTTGAGCAAAATTAGAATAAATGTTCAAACTGAGTTGTACGAGAAGGATGTGTTTTTCATTTTCTTTCTTTCTATATTCGATGATAATTTTTAATTTTCTTCCAAGTCACATGATTACTTGAATTGGTTTCTTTAGTGAATCATACTTCAGACGTGATACTGCTCATATCATTTTATGCACATAGCTTGGCAATTGATTGGTTTCTAAATTCAATCCAAAGCAAATGTCATCGATGCCCCACATTTTCATCGACTAGTGCTAGGCAAAGGGAATATAAAACATGTCTTTAATGACTGCATATTTAGTTAATATATATTATTGAAAATATGACTTTTGCCCCTAAATTTTAATTCTCTACATAAAACCCGACATAAGTTTTTTTTTTTTAATAAAACTCATTGACTAGATTTCACATCAGCAAATTCATTAATTGTGTTTGACTTCACACATTAAAAAAAATTTGGATGCCTAAAATACCCCTATTTGAATTTTTTTTTTATAAACCCTATTTGAATGTTTGATGTACATAATTAATGTCATGCGGATGGATGGTAAGGGAGACTTAATGATTTTACTAAAAAAAACATTAATGTTATAAATGCATTGCCTAATATATAATAACATAAAACATGTCTAATATATGTTATTATACATGCTTAATTAAATCAATAAAATTATATTTTATATATTAATGTAGGTAAATTATTTCTCACACACACACACATATATATATGCCTAATATATGTAAAATTCATGCAAAATAATTTACTTACAAAAAAAAAACATTTGATTCAAATAGTGCACCTACTATTAAAATTTTAAAATGTTAGATTGCTTAAAAAAAGAAAAATAATCCACCCCCCTCAAGATAGGGATGGGAACCCGAAGCCAGTAAGCTCCCAAAAGACCTCGTGCTAGGTAGGGATGAGAATATACATATAAGGATCACTCTCTTGCACGATGTGAGATCTTACTGAAGGAAGATTTGTGAAAAACATGTTCATTTAAGCAACATCAATAGCATGCAATTAACAATTAAAGGCAGAATCATGCTTGTATGCACTTAAAACAAAACATTTACCCATGAAATTCAAAGCCTAGTAGATAGGTGAACCAAGACTCAACTCAAAACAAAGTGAGTTGAGAAATCAATACCTTTGTAGATTCCTCTTTGCATAAGCAAAGGCTAATCACCCAAAGAGAGGGCCTTCATTCCTTGCATCTTGGATCCATGGATTTGGATGGATGAAAAGGTTTCTCCAAGTTCCCAAAATTGAGAACCTCTAAGTCTCCACACCAAGGTATATTGTAGAAGAAATGAGTGACCTAGAGGAAGTAAGATTGCTAGCTATTCCCCTCTAGATTGGCCAAAATTTTTGAGAGAAAGGAGAGCTTGTGTTCTCATCCTTTCCCCAAAAATAACCCTTAGTAAATTTTAGGCTATAAAGTCCTTTATATAGTCCCTTCAAATAAGTGACCTAATGGACCAAAAGCCCTATTCGTTTACACATGGCTAGCCTATAGGTTTATTGGGCTTTCAAGCCCTTTGTTTTATTCAAGTTGTCATACAACTTGAGTTAATGGGCTCGACATTCAAATCCCATTGGGCCTTGCGGCCCAAAACTAACCCGAGGTCTTTAACGAACTTATTCGTTTGATTAATTAACATATTAATTAATTCTAGCCTTAGATAAATAATTAAACCATTTAATTATTCTTACTCATCTCCGTTGAATCTTCAATCTCTACCTTACACGGTGTACGATCCATTAGGTTCCTTTTAGCGAGGCAGTGGGCGATTCAAACTCTTTCAAATCGATTGTGAATTGAAACTTACTTTCAATTCTCCCGTTAGTGATAATACACTTTTAGGGCTTCCACAAACCATGAGTGACACCTAGCAGCATATCATGGTTACCCAAGCTAATCAGAAG